TCTTGAGTTAACCAATTACAATTATTCTGCAAGTTTTTAGTAGCAATCATTTGCACATCTATTGCCATACCTTTAAGCTCTTGGCAGAGCCACGATCTTCCACAGTCTTTGACTCTCTTTTTAGATATTGCTGCAGTTCAATGCCACTGTCAGAGCAGAGAAAGGCTTGAAGTTACTCAATGCACCATCACCTTTGCAAATATGATTATTTAGACATGGGCAAATGGAAGACTATTGCAAAAATGCAATATGCAGTAAATAGGTTGAAGGAATGAGAAAGTGCTGACTAATATAAATAAATGTCACTCCCACTCAGATGAGCAGTGCAAACCATTGGATCATGGTGAGGAGTCAAACATATTTTGATGAGTCTTTATAATACCCTTTTATTTTATTTTATTTTATTTTTTACTTTGCTTTCCTTTTTCGGTAAAAGCCAGTCACAGAGCAATGTTTGTTTAGTGTTTAAATTATTATACTACACTGATATTATATATGTTGTTAGCATATTTTGGATAGCAATATTTGCACATTAATGTATTAAGGGGTTGCTTCTTGCTGCTTTCCTATTTTGGGGATACATATAAGGAAACATTATAATAATAAAGCATTCAAAGTTTAAGTCAGGTCACTTAGATTTGTTTACTCTCATTTGTGTGCTTTTGCTATTACTCCCAAGAGTGCCAACTGTCTATCCCAATGGACATCGCAGACTTTAGCAAGGACAGAACAGAACTCTGTTCATGCCCTAAATACATTTATAGATGGATTACTGTTATCCTCAAGACAACCACTTGTGCTCTGTCTCTTCGCCTGGAAACCCATGTGGTATGTCACTCTACTCATGCGGTGTCTCTTTTTGGCAATGCCCTCTGTATTTCACTCTCTTTTAATATTCACCAGTGTTTACCATGTGTTTATCATCTTACTAAACTACAACTGTACAGGATTCTGTATCCTCCCTCATCCACGACCACAGATATAGCTTGCATTCCATCTTTATATATAGAATAGTGACCTCTATAAAACCGGTATGTAGGATTCTTTCTGCAGCCGGTCAAAGCATAGCCACTTGTATATATGGATGTGCCTTAAGGCTGACAATGTACAGAACTAGGAGAGAATGATAACAGATTAAAAGTATAGTCATTTTATGGGAATTACAGAATAACAAATATATTTATGATAATATCCTAGAGCATTGGAACTTTGACCCACCAGTTACAGTACTTGACTGTAACAAAATAGATGATGATATAACGCAGAACTCAAGGAATTTGTCTTTATATGTCATAGTCCAAAGAAACTCCCAAATATGAGAAAAATTTTGTTCGAGAAATGTAAATACTGTATAATTGATAGATTTACATGTTACAATTGCTATCTAAACTGTACTGCAGAGTGTTGTGCCTTAAATGACAAACAATATATAAATACCTGGAATAGTTCCGATCATTGACATAATAATGCCTTACATACAGGCACGTTTGTGCATGGAAATGATAATGCGATATGCAGTGATCTAGGCATTTAACAATTGACCCTGCATGGAAACTAAAGAGCAGGCTGCCTCAGCTATGTGTTTCTGCATATGGGGGAAGGGGATGGAGGAGGTCAGATGTTTTCATATAATGAAATAAAATGCCACTAAGACATATATGGATGTTGGTTTCCATTAACAACGTGATTAATCCTTACAAACAATGGTGTATCTATAATAAGAGGGCTCATTGATGCATTAGTGGTCTCTAGCTTTATTTAATAAACATTTTAACATATAGTGTGTACATTTTAGAGCAGGCATCCCCAAACTCCGGCCCTTCAGATGTTGCTGAACTACCACTCCCATAATTCTACGAATGAAATAGATATGCTGAGAATCATGGGAGTGGTAGTTCAGCAACATCTGGAGGGCCGGAGTTTGGGGAAGCCTGTTTTAGAGTCTGCAGGGTTTATTTTTAGCATGCAGGAAGTGTTATATAATAGGGAGGTAACTCTCCATGTTTATATATGTAGCAAGGTAATTGCTAAGAGCAGCCATCTTGAATTTGTATCACTCTCTGAGTAAGATAATTTTATATTTTATTGTAGGTTAGAAGGAGCAGCCATCTTGAATTTGATCATTCTCTGACTAAGATTATTTGAAGTTTTATTTTAGGTTACAAAGTGCAAAAACAATTGTAATCCAGTAAGGCATTTTTTCCTATAATCACACAAATTCACCCTCTAGGAAGTTTTTCCACTGGCCCAAAATGTAAAAGGTCAGGGTTAGCAACTTTAAAAAAAGGTTTCATAATAACATCCCGAATGCAGACTGTGATCCTGCATGATTTATGCTGATTAGTCTTGCTAAAAGTTGAAAAGTATAAATTCTGTAAAATTTAAACCTCTTGGATTATATCTCTTTAATTCACTTTGATTTCAGAGATATATACTTGTCAATTACACATTGTAATTACATGAAAATGTAATTATTATTCGCTGTTGACTGGGAAGTTTTAAAAATAAATAAATAAAAAGAATTTAACAAATACTGTGCTGAGTGTTGTATTTTGTTCTCAAACACAGGTTTGGAAAGTACATATCATGTGCAAATCTTTTTTATTTGTCGGTGTTACTGTGGTGTTTAACCTTTGTATAGGCATTATATATGTATTGCAATGTTTGGGTGCCCTGCAAATGCAGGGTTTGGATATTATTAACACTTGCTGATACATTTTAACGATAGGTAAAAGCTAACTCTGACACTCTAGCTGCCATGGATTCCAACTATTAAAAAGCTCACACAGCTATGGCTCTTGCTAAGCACCATGGGATCTGGGCCCTTTATTTATAGTTGTGCACAGCATATATATTTAAATTTAACCCAAGACCTCAAGCGTTACAATTGTGTGGCAATGGTTAAAAAGGGCAGAGTTTAAGATTTCACCTACCACTGGCCCAAACTGGCTGAGGAAGATGAGAGTTGTAGCTGAATTTATTTCATTTAATTTTTTATTTAATTTCATATAAGATCCTCTAGAATGTAAGATCATTGACCAGGGCCCTCCCCCTCTCTGTTCCTGGATGTCCAGTTGTCTGGTTACAATTGCATGTATGTTAGTCCACCCATGGTACAGCGCTACGGAATTTGATGGCGCTATATAAATAATAAAATAATAATAATAATCAGTGGCTCTGGTCAATACAACAATGTCACTTGCAAGACATGTTACAGAAACATAAAACCACACATAGCTATGTACTATTCTATTCACAGTTGTTTGTCATTCTTGTTCAGCTTTGTCTACAGGTAGCTTCATCTTTCTGGAGACCACTTAACTGATGTACTTTGGCGAACATGGGTCAATGGAAGTGATCTTGCCCACGTTCAAATATATGTGACGTGGGCAATTTTTGTGCATTGCATTTTAAGATGTCTGCTGTCATCAGTCATTGCCAACAATATTTGGTGGGAAATGGCAGGATGTGACAGCGGAAGCTACATGAGTCTTCACTATATGCCACATATTGGCAAAAAAATGGCAATAATTTGGTCACATGTACATCTTCTAATTGAGTTGGAATTTCTTGTAATCCAACACCGAGTTTTTTTTAATAACAATTCTAACATAAAATTAAATAAATAACATTCTTACAGGATTTAGGGCCCAGTGCGTATGAGCTTACGATATAACTGTCAGCTGGTTTCACTGTAAACTGAGGATGATCTAAGTACAAAGAGCAGAGTGTGGGAACAATTACAGCCCTGAAGGAAGGAATTTAGAAGTAAAGGACAATGTCCAGGGGAATTTGTATATAAAAAAATAAAAATAAAAAAATAAAAAGCCAACATAATGGATAGTGAATCCAGAAGAAAAGGGAGAATGTAAACCTGTCGCTTTCTATTAATTTGAATCTAACCCCAGCCTCAGAATGCAAGCTCTAGTAAATGGCACTTTCAAACCATGAAACATTTTTCTTGAATCAGATTAATGAATTCACACTATGAGTTAAATTCTTACCGAAGTGAAAAAAAAAATAAAGTAAATTAAATCAGAGGAAAGGGAGAAATGGGAGTGCCTGACAACAATTATCTAAGTCACAGCAGCTGGAAATACAATAAAGGGCACCACTGAGTGATGCCATTATCTCCCTCCCCCAGCACCCCTTCCTCTCCCCCTCCTTCATGTGTAACTTTCCATGTGTGTATGGCTATAGCCACTAGGTGTCACAAACATATTTATTATAATATTTGCTAAATAATGTTAAAAGAAAGTGCACTAATCCTAGTTATAGGCTGACTGAGGCGCGCATACACTCAGTATTGAAAAACCTCTTGATAAGTCCTACACCCAAACGGAGTCAGAGGTAACAAGTGATAATAACACATACAATGGGGCTTATTCACTAAACAGTGTTTCCTAATAATATAAAACCGAATTCCAAACGTTTGGCATACAGACTATCAGAAAGACTTCAGCAAGGCCATGGTAACAGCTTGGCTACTTTATCAATACCTTCTCCCCACCTGGTAGCTGCTGGCTGTGTGTAAACCATCTCTGAAGTTTATTTATAAACCTTTTTTAATAATCCAAATGTACACATGTGTTTTATGAAAATACAAGTATACCAACGTGGTCCTTTATTTCTTAAACAGTATATCTGGTGAAGGAACATTGAAAATGGGAAAACAATATCAAATAACATATTTTTAAGCAATTATTGTAACAATATTTGGCATTGCTCATTCTTTGCAGAGAGTCTTACTTCTTTATAAACACTAGTATTTTATTTAGTGCAACCTGTCCTGGCTGTTTGTTCCTGAGCTACATATGTAAATAATGTATCCTTGTGTTTTCTAATTGTAAGTAGTGCTGTTGTCCCACTTGTGGGCACAGTACCCCTAGTTCCACATCTGCCCTTCCATCCCACAGCTGCAATCCCCCACCCCCTCTTGTGCTCTAATTACACTTTATAGGTTTGGAGTTTGCTTGCATGGCCCCTCCTTTATTCTCTCACCAGTCTATTCATTCCTACTTCCAGCCCCAAGGCGTCCCTCCCTGTACACTCTGAAGCTAAGCAAGCACTTCTGGGACAGGAGGCCCTTTCCATGCTGCATGTAATGCTCCCATCCCATCAGAACTCAGCAGCCCCTCACAGTCCAAAGTGAGCCCAAACCACAGGATGGTATTTTGTGCAGACCAGCTGCTGTTACCGTGGAGGTGAAATCACTGGTGAGTTTCTCTACCTGGGGGGGGACTGTCCCATATACAGACAGGTAGGTCTGGGAGCTGAGAGCTTGTTTTAGTCCTTAGCAGTGGATCTGTCTGTGTTTTGGTTAGATGTGGCACCCACTCCTAGCCCTAAGGAAAAGTTTGTGGTTTGCCAGTGTGTATGCTCTTCTGAGTCTGTGTAGGCACACATTTTGACTGGATTAACTCTTTCATGACAAGAGGCTAAGATCTGAAAATCCCATTATATCATGACATTCCAGGTCGAGTTGTGTATAGTAATAATACCTAATAACATAACCATGAAGTTATTAAGTATGTCCCGGTATAAAGATGTTGGTCCTATACTTTGCGCATTTCCTCCGTCCTGGAATCCTATAGGATAATGTGCTGTGACCGAGCATTCTAGCTGCTCCCAGTCATTGTGGTATGTTGTAGCGTGCGGCGTCTTCACAGCTGAAATCCAATAATTCCTATTTATAGGAGTTGGAAATTCTCAACTTGGATCGTGGGCACTGGCAACCGGATTGATTTTTTTTTTTATTGTTCTTTATTAATACAGCGAACATTCCAATGGAATATACAATAAGGAAAATACGTGGAAATTGTATCAGTGTGTGTTTAGTAAACTAGTTCTGGAATGTATTGAGGGCCTTGGTCACAAGCACTTGCAATCTAGCCAGCCCCATGTATGCACAGTCTGATATTTAACTATGTGTAAAATAACCAACTACTGGATTCCAAAGCTCTCACTATCATGTTCTGGTCCAACACATGCAGATGACCGCTGCAGGTCAGTTAGATGCAGCTTGATTATGGTGATTTTATTTTAGGGCGTTTAATAGTTTGTTTGTTTTTTTTGCAGAAGTTGTGCCAGTGTTTTGTCTGTTATTGGCATGTATATAAATGGCTAACTGCAAGCAAAGTGCTTTCAGACCATGTATATGCAAGTAGTGGTACCGCTAGCTGGATAAATGTCAATTATGATGGGCAGTAGCGATTGCTGATTTATCTATATTGCCTGATCTTTGTCTGCTCGAAGGACAATACAAGGGAAGATTTATTGGCCTCCAGGAGGGAATGTTGCTCATGGTGTAGAAAGCATATTGTTTTATGTAGTTATTTATAAAATGCTATTCCAGGAAGGATACAATGACACTTATTGTCTTCACCTATTTTGTGTGCACAACTTTAACCTGTTACTACAGTTACCCAGCTCCTGAGTGTA